GATTACATTGCATTCAATTGTGTGTATATTCATGGTGTAATTTACAGGAAAGAAAGAGGTACAAGACAAAGAAAAACCGGCCACCCGATTTCCCAGAAAGAAAGACACCTCTGGATTCTTGATTCTTCTTTGTTTTTATGTTTAAATTTGGGAAATCAAATCTTCAATTGGATCGCAACAATTTATGGTAGTCTAATCTCGATTTTTTTTCTCACTCTCTTTGATCAAAATATCCCAATTTTTTCGGTTGTTACTGGATTCGAAATCTTGAGACGGATAAGGCGTGTGAAGAATTTCCGATTCGCCCTCTGATTGTGATTGATTTGGGGGGTGGTGATATATCTGTGTAATTGATTGGGAATTTAGGGTTCGAAATGGCGTTTCATTTATCAAAGTTCGTCGATAAAGTTTATTTGATGGCTGAAGGGGGATCTCATTATTGTTCAAAGAAATCCGATGATATCTGCAGCGATGTTTGCGATGAGGTAATTCGATTAACTTATCAAAACCGTTTTACGTTAAATCAGAAAGAAATTCTCGATTTGCGAATCGCATTGCGATTTTTAGGTTTAATCGATTTTGTTTGCTGAACGAATTAACGTTGTTGGAATTATAATTAAAAAATTAGAAAGCCTTTTCAGCTGTTAATTAAAAAATTAAGTTTTTAATTTTAAAATGTCAAAAAAGTTGTCTTTTTCCAGCTTTTAACGTGTGGAGGTTGGGGGCTCGATTGTTCGAATTGAAAACTTATTCTCTCTCTCTCTCTCTCGCCCCAAATTTTGTAGGTTATGATCATGAATTTGATATTTGTATTCACTGTGTTCTTCATATGAATCTGTTTTGTGTAGAAGCTTAACGAAAATGTCCTATTTTGTTTACAGGATTCGACGATATCTTCAGCAATGTCAAGAGTTCGTTGCATTCTACGCGGATTAGATCTAAAAACCCTAATTTTTCTATTCGTATTGGTACCAACAGTCATCTTTGGAGTGTACATTCACGGTCAAAAAATCTCCTACTTCTTGCGTCCACTATGGGAATCACCACCAAAACCATTTCACGAAATCCCTCATTATTATCACGAAAACGTATCAATGGAGAATCTCTGCAAGCTTCACGGATGGAAAACCCGCGAGTTTCCAAGGCGTGTATTCGACGCAGTCTTATTCAGCAACGAAGTCGATCTTCTCACAATACGATGGCATGAGTTATACCCTTACGTTACAGAGTTCGTACTTCTAGAATCAAACTCCACCTTCACCGGTTTACCTAAGCCTCTTGTGTTTTCCGGCCACCGTGAGCAGTTCAAATTTGTGGAACCGAGGTTAACCTACGGGATGATTCCGGGAAGATTTCATAAAAAGGAAAACCCGTTTGTTGAAGAAGCGTATCAACGAGTGGTGTTGGATTATTTACTGAAAAAAGCTGGGATTGAAGATGATGATTTGTTAATCATGTCAGATGTTGACGAGATTCCAAGTAGACACACTATCAATCTTTTAAGATGGTGTGATGACATTCCTCCTGTTCTTCATCTTCGTCTCAAAAACTACTTGTATTCATTCGAGTTTTTCTCAGACAACAACAGCTGGAGAGCATCTGCACATAGATACAAGTCTGGTACAACAACATATGCTCATTTCCGTCAGTCTGATGTGATATTAGCAGATGCAGGGTGGCACTGTAGCTTTTGTTTCCGCCATGTGAGCGAGTTCATCTTCAAGATGAAAGCTTATAGCCATTTCGACAGAGTGAGGTTCAAAAAGTTTTTGAACCCTGAAAGAGTCCAGAAAGTAATCTGCAAAGGGGCTGATCTTTTCGACATGTTACCAGAAGAGTATACTTTTAAGGAAATCATTGGGAAGATGGGACCCATTCCACATTCTTATTCTGCAGTTCATCTTCCTGCACATCTTCTTGAAAATGCTAGCGATTACAGATTTTTGTTGCCTGGGAATTGCTTGAGAGAAAGTGGGTGAAACAAACTTGAATGATTATTATATGTTTTTCTAAATGGTTGTAGAGGTAGATGAGTTGATGGATGTGTGTATATAGAGTCTCTCCCTTTTCCATTTATTTGTTAGTTTGAGGAACGAGGACTCCCTCTTTGATATATTAGGAAATTTTGAATCTATTTCATATCTGTATTCAATTAGTGCTTTGATCTTCATAGCTTTTGGTTTTTTGGATCTTTATTTTGATGGGTTCATGGCAATTTTTAAAAGTGTGTGGTTTGTGAATGACAAGTGTGACGATAGAATCAAGAAAAGAACATTGAAAGAGTTGATGACAGTATGATTCTTGGAGTCATGGTGGAGAATTATGTGAAAAGATTAAAGAATTTGATGATTATGTGTTTTGGGGTTGTTGGATTCTTGTTGCAGCTGGTTATTGGAGTGTTGGAACCGACAAGAATCGAGTTTCCGATTTAATTTTTTGTTGGTTTTTGCTAAGTGAGGTCATATGAAGTGATGTCATATGAACTAGTTTGATCATATCAAAGTTTGTAACCCATCATTTAAATTAAATAAATTTTCATCAATAATGCAAATTTAAAATGTCATTTTGTATAAAATGTTGAATATATCTCAAGGAAATTAACTTATAATTACATCTACGTTTTATACAATTACATATGATAATTATGACCGGCTGTAGCAAAATACACAGCTTATATGACATACATGTGACAACAATAATTATCCAGGGTAATAGACTATTGGTTTGGTTCGTATCTAGGCAAAAAAAAAATTGTTCATATTCGCCCATCAAACTTGTTGAAGTTTTCATATAATACCACTGTTTCATAAATTTAAATCGGTAGTGGAAGTCGTTCGTCCAACTTGTTGAAGTTGTTCACATAAGATCATTATTTCTGAAATTGAGACACTTGGTTCGATCTGACACAAGAACATCATTTGTTTCTTAGGCTAGGGGTCGAACCAGACGATTAAACTTTTGTTTTATGATTATTATCCTAATTGAAGTTTGAGCTCACTCCTCCATTGCACCGAGATTGGGAAACAAGGAGCATAGTGGGTGATTAGGTACGAGGTTTAATAAGTGGGAGAGTGGAAGCTAACTGAGGTTTTTGGTTTTGGTCTTTCATAACAAGTCTAGCCAGCCTAAAATCACTAAGGTAGTGTTGTAGGTTTGGACCCAATAACACATTCATGACTTTCACGTCTCCATGTAAAATAATAAACACACAGTCATGATGTAGATACGCGAGAGCATGAGCCATGCCTAATATAACCTCGTACCTAGTCTTCCCACTTTGCTCCTCGTTTCTTAGTCCCTGCACCATGGAGGAACGAGCTCAAGCTTCCATTAGGATAATAATCGTAAACATAAGCTTAATCACCTAGTTTGAACCCCATCCTAAGAACAAACGATGTTCTTGTGTTAGATCGAACCAAGGGTCTCGATTTCGGAAATAATGGTATTATATGAACAACTTCAACAAGTTAGACGAATGAATTTAACTATCAATTTAAATTTTTGAAACAATGATATTATGTAAATAACTTCAACAGGTTGGATGGTCGAATGTGAACAAAAAAAAAATTGTCCAGATGTGAACAAAAAAAGAAATTGCCTAGATGTGAACAAAACCAATAGTTCATTACCCTCCTAGATAATTATCTATCATTTATACGCCACATAAGTTGTAACTTGCTATAGCCGGTAATAATGGCCATATATAAACACTAACAAGTTTGTTGTCTACATGTGTACAAAAAAAGGTTATCAAAATGTTCACAAAAAGAAAAGTAAATACCCTGACAAAACAGTTTTCCTATATCTTACATAAATTGATAAAAAATTTAAATTTTTTAATGTGTCATATGCTTAATCAGAGTGTCTATTAAAACTTTTTTTTATTGCATTGGTATTCTTAACTTCGTCAATTTATTTTGTAAACCACGCCCTAGGGTGGGGGCAAAAAAATGGAACCAGCTACATTTTTAAAGGAATGTGTTTTAGGTACACTGTATAAAAAGAAAAGAATATGTATGCTGGATTGAAGAATTCAAGCTCGAAGACGAAGATAAGCGGATTTTTTTTTGCCAGAACAGAGGCCTAACACAATCCTATTTCTTTCTCCTTTTTTTCCGTTCAAAATATTAGATGCCCCCATAAATAGTTTTGGAATAACTATGTACTTTTTTAGAAGTATGTAAATATATATAATCCGTCCCTTGAAATTTAAAAAATTAAATAAATAAATAAATAGAAAGCAATTCGATTTCAAGAAGATAACAAAGGAAAATTAAAGCTATATAAACTAAAATGAAAGCAACATAAATTTAAAAAGGTAAACAATAGAGTTGTACTCGTATGAAAAAAAAAAAAAAAAAAAAAAAGACTACTCGAGAACGAAATTACAGTCAGAGAAAAATAACATTCCTCTTATACCCTTGCACATTTGATCCATCTAGACCACTCCAGCTCGATGATAATCTATTTATTGTCGAGAGTCTCAATTTCTACTTTATTGTCATGTTCGTAATTGTGATTTAAAAAAAATCATTTTATCGTTTTCTTCTAGAAAAGAAAAAACTAAAATAAAAATCACTTAAGGAAGAAGAAAAACTCCATGTTCTTGGATAAAATTAAGATTTTAATTATTTATATAATATTTAATATATTATTATAAATATTTTTTATGTAGAAATAGATCCTATCTAACTTACTCTACATATTATACATACAGTATATTTATGTTTGTTAATTGATTTATTGTATATTAAGTTTTTAATCAATTTATTATATATGAACAAATGTTTCTTTGTTCATATTTGTTTTAAAAGTCACTAACATAAGTTAAATAAGGGATTTTCTTGTTTATTTTTATAAAAATATTATACATTAGCTTGTTAATTGTGATTTTGAAAAGAAAAAAAAAATGTTATTGACAAAATGTAAAAATAAAAAGTTTGTTATACTGAAAATTTTCTAAGACCTCAATACATAACATCCAAAGACAATCATAAAATACCTCATAATCATTAGTTCATTACAAACAACCCCATGCTCATAAATCTTTTTACACATAATATAATCCACCTCACCTATTAAATTCTAGCTTGCTATTTACAGTTCCCTTTCACGTTGGGAGAAAACACACCTAAAAATACACATACACTTATTGCAACAAGCATGTATATATTTACATAGTGTTTCACAATTAAATATTTGTTACCTGTTTATAACAACAACAATCTAGACTCCCATCCTTATGCAGCCTGAGCAGGCCCATCAGGCGAAGAAGAGGAGAAAACCGGAAGCCATATTTCCACACGGGTCCCACCAGCTCCAAGTGCCGCCTCCATGCACCGAGGCGAGATCACTCTAAGGACACAACCGTAATTTTCCAATATCTCTCGCGCCACTGTCAACCCCGCCACAAAGTTCCATGTCATGTTGTCTTCCACCATACCTTCCGATAAAAGATCCGCCCCAAACGGTGTCAACGAATGCATCTGTGTCTGCAATACCAAATAACCGTTACGTACAGTAACCAGTAGACAGTAAACAGTAGACAGTATACCATACCATGTAGTGCATATCGGGTCCATCATCGTCAATTACGATAAGGGCACCGCCAGCTGGCGCTTTGGTGGATGCGATCTCAACCATTCCTCCAACATTTGTACGCAATAAAGCACCCTCGATTAAATTGCTTAAAGCCTGGCGAAGTGCGGGTTCTTCAACAGCAACCTCCAAAGTTTGAGGAAGTTCACAGATTTGTATGACACGTTGTTGCTTATGAGCCAAGGGTTCGAGTGCATCCGCCAGGTCAGCGAGTACATCAGAAGCATTGCATGGTCTTTTTGAAATAAAAAGACAAATATTAGTGTTTATTTATTTATTTATTTATAAAAACTAATGATCAAATTTCAAAAGGTTAAATGGAAACTGTACTTGATGTTTTGGTGTAATAAAGGTGAAAGAGTCAAAGGTGGCATTGGCATTTCTAAATCTCCGGATTTAGAAAAGAGAGAGAATGGTCCACCATGATCGTGTGAGAAGAAATTGGATAACTGAGTCCTCACTGAGTCACGAGTTGACTCGTCTATTTTCATTAGGTTTTCTTCGTTGTAGCGAACTATATTAGTCTGAAAGAAATCAAGACTTGTTACTTTATCATATGAACAAACACAATTCTTAACGTATATTATTATAAATTTATGATTATATACCTTTGTCATATGAACAGCATCTTGAAGTTGTTGAAGTGTCTCTCTCATATGATCACCTAGCACCATCATGTCTTCAACAATATCATATGAAACCTGTAATATATTCAAGTAATCACAATGTTGCCTTCAAATTAAAACTTAGAGAGACGATTAATCATTAAAGGTTTGGGCATACACCTCATTTTTCTTCATATTGGCTGATAACATTTTGCTTAAAGTCCGAATGCTAGAAAGTGGACCACGGATCTGTAGATAAACAGACTTATGATCATGATATTGTTCAACAAGTTTATTTCCAGAATGCGGTTGTAGGAGGAAGAAGAAGAATCTTACTTGCTCAACCAAATTATTCATTCTGACATTGTTTTGCCATGAAGATTGTTGAAGCAACATTGCTTTCTGTAGGAAGAACATAAGCAAATTACTCATTGTAAGATGTTTTTGGATTAATAAAAGATAACTGGTGGTTTACCTGGTCCATAACATACGCCATAGCAACAGAACGGGAGATGTTTATTGCATTTAATCTCTGTTCAGTAGAAAAGTTGTGCATTTCCAATGTTTTATCTACAAAACTTTGGAGTTCCCATGATTTAGGAATTGCATATGGATAAGATTCCTCAGGGGATGAGCCTTGTTTTACTTTTACATTATCTTCTTCCTTTTGCAATTCCAGTTTTGGAAGTTCAGCCACCAAAAACCCCACAACGAATGGATGCTTCACCATAGGGAAAACCAAAGCTCTGGATTTGGGAATGAATTCTGCCTACAATTTACATTAATATCTATCCTAAATTGAACAAACAACAATCAGAGACAAAAGAAATATACTATATCCTACTTTATGGTAACATGTAGATTGCATAAAGAGCATACCTGCTGTTTCAGAAGAGAAGCTTCTGCTGCCCTTAATCCAGTTGTGATGCTAAAGTTCCCAATTACAATTACAACATCGGCCACATTCCTTCCAGGATACACAGTAACTCTACGCAACTCTAGTCTGTCCATAACATAACTACCAGCTGGTCTCACATAGACCTGAAGATTCAAAATTCATGACAGATTGATCAGGATTCACACAAACATTTAACACCATAGTAGAATATGTCAAAAGCACATGAGTAACTAAGGTTGAGATCAACCCTCTAATAATTAGGAACAGTATGCTTTCCATCGAAATGTTTCTTTTCCTTCCTCCGACTTGCGTTTTATGAAGTAGTTAAGCTATCGGTGTGAATTACACTCGATTATAGTTTATACATAGTAGAGCTTATAAACTTACCGATAGAAGAGCTTCGGGATCCACGATACGACGAAAGAGATCCAACTGTTCCACACAAAGCGTTTGGAAGTCGGAGCTGGGAAGCACTAGTCCTTTGTTCTTCCCGTCTTGCTCAATCCTCTGCACGAATTCCACCGGAGATGTTGACGCCTTACGAATAGCGGCAGCTACAGCTACAGCGGAGGATACCGTGACTACATCATCTTCACATGTGTTAGTGTTACCGTTATTATGATTACTACTGCTCACGTGACGGAGAGCCGGGACACTGTTAGGAATGCTACAGTGGACGGCAGTCGTAGAGGTGGCTGATCTGTAAGCAACCTGACGACGAAGATCTTTATGCAGATGATGAAATTGAGGAGCAAATGAGGAGAGGATCATGTCTCCCAGACCTCTGCACAGTAGAGAATGAGCAACGCTGTAACTTGCGGCAGCGGTCGGCCGATTTCCCCAAATTGGATAGAGGGTAACAATTTGTAAAATGCTAGTTTCTTATTCAAGCCCTTTCAGTCTTTTTAAATTCCATGTAGGTCCCTATACATTTATGTGATGCGTAAATGGTGTATACCTTAGCTTTAAGTCCTATGGGTGTCATACAAGTCATGGACACTTTATTTATTTTTTTTAGGGATGTCAACGGGGTAAACAGGACGGGAAGTGTATCCCCCGCCCCCTCCTCTGAAATTTCCCTGTTCCCCGTTTCCCGTCCCCGCCCCCGCCCTCGCCCCGAAATGTTCAGCCTTCATATCCCCGTCGCCGCTCCCGAATCTCATTTATTACCACCGCCCCCGCTCCCGATTGATTTTTGGCTACCTTTTTTTGGGTTAAAAAAAGTTGTTATTTATGCTAAAAGAAACTATTTTTTAGGTAAGAAATAATTATTTATACTAGAATTTTACATGTTAAAAATAAAAAAATTATGGCATCTTAAAAACATTATACTAACAACTTAAAAACATGTTTTTTTATGAATTTTGGAAGCTCAAAATCATGTTATTGTTTATTATATTTATATAATTAATATATGTAAACATATGTGTAATTTATTAACGGGGTCCCCATGGGGGTTTCGGGACGGGATTGCCTACCCCCGCCCACGCCCCCGAAATTAAAACGGGGGTTAACCTTGCCCCCACCCCCGTCCCCGCCCCCGATTTTTTTAAAAAAAACTCCCCCAAACGGGACAGGGCCCCCACGGGACTTTTTGACATCCCTATTTTCTTTGACCCACGGAAACGAGGGTGTCGTACCATGCTTTTTTCTTTAATCGAATAAAATGTAATTATATAAAATTAATAAAATGAAAATATTTCATTAATTAAAAAAATACATATTAAATAAAATACATAATTGCAACGTAGTAAAATAATACATGACGTCTAATCATCGTCGCTCACCATGTCATCATAATCATCGCCCGAATCTCCTTCAAACATTTTTGATTCGTCATATGTATCGTCGAACAAGTCGTCTTCAACAAAATCGTTAGCAATGGGACTCAATCGAACATTGAAGACGTATTCAACCAAATCAACGCGAAGGTTGTGGTGTCCAACTTGGTCAGATATTTCCCCTCTGTTTCGCCATGTACGCATGTGTATCAATACTAACTCCTTCGACATTTGGTAAATTCTCATTTCCATTGTAGCGGCAAATCGTCTTCCCCTTATTTTCTAAATTCATATTATGCAATATGATACATGCAGACATCAGGCTACTTATTCATTTACGCTCCATAGATCGTGTCGGTATTGCGAGTATCTGCCAACGTCTCTTTAGAACACCAAAGGCTCGCTCGATATCCTTCCTAGCAGCTTCTTGTGCCAACTTAAACTCTAGTCGCTTTTCATCATTTGGACATGAGAATGATTTCACAAATATTGCTAACTCGAGATATATTCAATCAGTAAGGTAATACTCACGCTTGTACAGGGGCGGAGCCAGGATTTTATGATAAGGGGGGCTTACACCGAAATAAAATATTAAAATATTCTTTATATCCAAATAACATAATAGAGCTTATAAGATTCAAAAAGAAATTGATAAGAAAAAACGTCCAAATATGAGCTACATCGATCTATGCAATGAATCAATCTTCATTAGTTTTCAAACGATCATAAGTACCGATTCTCATCCATTAACCTTCTAGAATTAAAATAATTTGTTGGAACATAGATACATATTGTATTATGCTTCATTTCATAAGGACTCAATTATATAGAATTTGTAAAAGTATAAGAAGTAGTCCCTTGCTCACTTTAAATTGGGTTCGTCTTTGTTTCATAAAATAAAAATCATTTATAATTTTATCTGTGAAAATATATCTTCTCTCTCTCTCTCTCTATATATATATATATATATATATATATATATATATAGAGAGAGAGAGAGCTAGGTTCAAATGTTTCTAGCAACTATTGTGTGCCTAAATGCACCAATGAGAATTCAAGAAATAATAAATAATTAAATAAATCATTAAAGGGTATTTTGGACCTTTTTTACTTTTAATTAAGGAAATCATTTAATTAAAATCTTGCAATTAAGGAAACAAAGTAAATATATTTGACCTAGTCTCTCTCTATCTTATATCCTCTCTTATATTTCCTACGGTTCTTCTTTTTCACCTAGATGGAGGATGAAATCAAAATGAGGAGGTTGTTACCTTCGCTTAAGCCGCCAAGAGACACCCCCACCCGCCGAGGATCGCTATTGATGTCTACCCTTCACCTTCGTTTCCTGCCTGGTACACGTCTTGTGTTTCTTGTTATCTCTTTCCTCACTCTTAACGACTAATCCCTTGGCTCCAATCACCATTGATGCTCTCACGCCTTCCTCACTGTATGCTGGAGACGAAGGTCCAGGACACCTTGCGTCCCTCTGTCGTAACGTAGAACAAGATGCTTTAATGGCACACGTCTTACACCAACAATTTTGGTTTTTATGGTTCTATGGTCGTTTTCTGTCTTCATCGATAACTCAATTTCATCTCCTTTTTTTCAATTTCCCCCTTATATTGGTTCTCGTAACAGCTTCAATTTGAAGAAATTGAAGGAATTAGAAGCTATTCATCTATCGATTGTATAAGATGTATGGGATTTGAGATCTTGATGTGGCTAGGTAGGAGTTTTTGTTGGTCCACCACATGTTCGATGAAATGCTTAACAAACAATACTGGGTTAAACCAGATGACAATGAATCCAATCTCAACTATTGACTTAAGATCTATCCACATGATGGAAACTGGAAAGGTGAATGTGGTGTGCAGGGGAAAACCTTTCCCAACTCGACATTTCGTACCTATTATCCTTCTTTGTTTATTTCTTCATAATTTATTTAATGTAGCTCAACTTACGGGTTTTCATTCAAATTAGTTCTCAAGCTATCATCTGTGATTGAGTTTGAGTTTTTATTTGATTGATTTTGTTGTAGAGTCAAGTTAGGGGTTGTTGGTGACAATCAATTATACGAGGGCATTACCGAATCATCATTATAATAAAAGAGTGAAGCAGGTCGTACTAGACAGGTAAAGCCACTAAAACACTCATTAAAATCATTTTGTTGACCCGTAAATTCTTTCAGAATGAGGGCAATATTCTTTTATAATAAAGAGGGCTTTAGTTTGACGAAGGCTACTATTCTTTCAGAATGAAGAAGGGTAATATTCTTCACATGTAATCCTGCAAATTGATCAGACCTAGACAACCAAAAAAGGCACGGAAGCTTTAATTTTATTCTTTTACAATGATATTGTTCTCTAAGAATGAAATCGAATTTTATTCTTTAATTTTTTTTCATATCAGAATGCAAACACGTGTTCATTCTATGAGAATATAAATATTACATAAAACATGTGTTGCTAGTAATTTTGACAGAATACATTTATACATGCTTTAGAATGTTTATTCATATAGAAGAAAAGACTATGATTGTTCATTCTGTAATAATATTATTGTTGTATTCTGATAGAATTGTAGTTAATTATTTGTATGTTTAATGTGCAGTTGTTACAAGTTTATCACTACAAATTACTTGGCAATGAATTTATGGTAGAAATGGCTTGAAGATCTGATGGGAAAGGCTTGAAGAATGAATTAAAGAATGATCACACTCATTGTTTTAAGAATGTTGTTATTTTTTTAAGAATTATACTTGTTATTCTTTCATAATGTTTGTTATTATTCAATGAATCGCAATCATACAATGTAATTATTTGGTATATTATTATTTCAAGAATCGATTTTATGTAGTCTTTCAGAATGTATTTACTAGTTTATGGTTGGCATTCTGTCATTCTGACAGAATAAAATCGAAAAATATATTTACTAGTTTATGGTTAAAATTCTATCATTCTGACAGAATAAAATCGGATTTTTAATTTTAAATTAATTTAAAATATTCAGATTGTTAAAAACAAAAGAAATTAATTATCCCTAAAAATTCGAAAATTTCCTTTTTTAATATAGGTTAATTGACTAAAATGCCCTTATGCTCAAATTTGTGTGATTATATGGTACATGTTATCCTATTCTACTATCATAGACCCTCAGATCATGTGACATCCCCAAAATCACGGCCAGAAAAGACCGATTTTGTTTATGCTTTATAAAAATCAGAGTACTTCTTTTAATAAAAATGTTGCAGAATTTGTTCCCAAAACAAAATATGATAAGAATTTATCAAAGCATTTCATAAAGAAATGTATTTTCATTATATAACAAAACCTCTGGATGTCATGTTCCGATACAGACCAAAAGCATAAACAATACAAAATAGACCTTACAACAGTTATATATAACTACTGGTCTATAATCCAAAAATATCTTGACAATGTCATCCAACTTATGCTCTCGTTCCACTACCTGTAATACAAAGGAAAACTGAGTGGGTCAGGCTTGGGAGCCTGGTGAGCATATAGGGTTTTCAACCCATAATAAATAATTATATTTAGTTCATCAACCAACAATAACCCGATTACCCATTCCCGTTATCCTCACCTTACGTCCCTAAAACAACATCTATTACCAGGGACCTAATCTAGGATTTTCATCGGGATGGACATTACTGCAAAGGGGTTTCCTTAACAATAGATGTCCTAAAGGCAACCATGAGGGGGATAGAGTACACCGGTGAACACATCGTTCACAACGCCTACAGGTTATGAGGCTGCTAGCGTTCCACTGGACTGTCTAGAAAGAGTTTGTGGTCGTCATCCATACTCCGCTAGATGACTAGATCAACAACAACATCGAGGCCTCTCATCATTTTATTTCATCACACACCAATTGTCTACCCATGTTCTACCCAACATATTAGTAGATAAAATATATACATTTATATACAGCTTAAAATGTAACGCCCCGATTCTCAGGTATTGATCTAAATAAGAAATTCCTTGATTTCTAAGGTCTACTCGACGAGTTGGTTGCCCTACTCGCCGAGTAGCAGCGGATTGGTCCACGTATTTTAGTGACCTACTCGCCGAGTCCAAGAATGGACTCGACGAGTAGGAGCTGGCAGATGAAACCCTAAATCTCGGGGTTTTGCACCCTATTTAAAGGATCATTGGCCTCCCCCAGCCTCCCCTTTACTGCTTCTTGTCCCTCTCAAACCCTAATCGTGTGTGTGTGTTCCATTTGTGTATTTTTGGAGCTTGGAAGAGGATTTTGTGGAGAAGGGAGCTTGAAGAGCAAGTATTCAGAAGCAAGGAGCTTGGGGATCTGAAATCTACCTTATTGGGCATCTTCTAGAAGGTATAAATCGTTACCCTGACCTCATTTCATTCTAGATCCCCTCTTTGGACAAATTCTAGGGTTTTCATGGTATGAATGGAAGCTATTCTTGTGTGCAAGCTAAGATCTGGAGTTGTCACTTCAGAACTGGGCTCCCCTGGGCTTCTTAGTCCATAAATTTTCCAACTTGTGCAAGAATCAGACTCTCCCAAGGTGTAAAGCTCCATTGGAAGCTTAGATTGGTCATTTAGGGCCTTTAGAGCCTTGCATGTGCGTAAAGTTTGCAACTTTACGTGATAAACATGCCTTAGAAGCTTGGATCTGTAATCTGGAACCTTGCCATGGATTAAAAAGCGTCTGCATGGATAAAGGTCTGCAAGGACTCGACGAGTTGGATGAACAAATCGGCGAGTCCGTTGAAGATGGCCATGAACTCGACGAGTTGATGAACAACTCGGCGAGTCCGTTGAAGATTGCCTTGAACTCGACGAGTCATTCGAAGACTCGGCGAGTCGGCTAGGGTTTCTCCCAATTCTTGGACACGTATGAACTCGGCGAGTTAAAGGGGAACTCGCCGAGCCAATCAAGGATTTCCCGACTTCTCGAGTTCAGGAAGGACTCGACGAGTCGGTGAACTGCACTCGACGAGTCGAGTCAACATGGACTGTTGACTTTGACTGTGGACTTTGACTTGGACCAAGGGTTGACCAGTTGACTTCTGAGGGTATTCTGGTAACAAGATCGGAAAACATCCATGAGATCTCACCGATGTGGTTGCCGGAGAACTCGCACAAGCACTCTGTGGCACTATACATGTGTACACTCTCAAATTCGGATGTTCCTCTCACTAAGAAACCAACGGAGATCATACCGATCATTGTTGGTGATTTTTTCATAACCAAAACATAAAATGCGGAAACATAAACTTTGGATCTTTAATCTCGAATCTGATTAAAAGAAAACTTAAACATGAAAGAACGATTATATACCTGATTTCATTATGATCTTTGGATCTGAAGAACTAGAGTTGGGTTTTCCAGTTGATCTCAAGAGCTCTCTCTAAAATCCCTCAGCAAACCCTAAACGAATTTACATGTGTATTTTCGTGTGTCTTGATTGCTCCTCATCACATGTATATATAGATGGAGATATACCCTAATGTGATAGATGGAAGGGATCTTGAGGATCTTGAGTCAAACCGGGAACTCAACCCACAAGGTAAGTGAATATTCTATAAATCGGTCCATCAACAATTTATATTCTTACCATAATAATTGGATTTAAAAATATACCGTACATATTTATGAAGTGGTCCATAATTATCCAACAATCTCCCACTGGACCACGAATATATAAATGTACGTATAACTGTATAAGCGCTTTAATGAATGTTATTATAACATTGGTACCCTTAAACAATCTCGTCCACTAATCATAATAGTATAGGATCAAAGCGGCCTTCGTTACAATTTCCGTAACTAAACCTATCAATGGTCACATATACATATATAACTAACGACATAGATTAAACATGATGTGTGGTTTTAAAATCTAAATAGATTTCCAACGAGTTCCTTTTTTAACTTGAAGTGAGATCAAACTTCAAATAAGTGCAGCTAATAATGGAGTTAACCGAACTCTTAATTCTGTACAGAAAAAAATAATTGTTGTTAAACAACAGATAAAGCACCATAAAACTCTCACTAAAACCAAATATCACACCAACATGTGTAGTATGCTCATGAAAGACCTAGGGAGGTAATCCCTTTATGAGCGGATCCGCTTTCATGGAGTTTGTTCATATGTGCTATATATATATATTTCCATTTTGCACTATTGTGTTAACAGAAGAAAACTGATGTCAATACGAACGACTTAATAAAACTTCTGTTGTTGGAATATAACATTGCTGACTTATTATCACAACTTTAGTGGTCTTTCAATACCAATAATGTGTAGCCTCGTGACAAATTTTCGCAACCATATTCCATACTACAAATTATTCTGCCATTATGGAAGAAGCTACCGAAGTCTAATCCATGAAATGGCTCATCATGTTAAAATGTAAAAATATCCCGATATGGATCGGTAACCATTTTTGGCATCTAATAAAATCAGATTTTTAATAAAAATGATCTCCAAAATATCTGATTTCCTATAGTTGATCATATAGCCTTTTGTTATATATAGATATCTTAAAATCCATTTGGCTACTTTCTTATGATCCAAAATTAGGTTCGTAGATATCTGCCCAAAACCAGAAAGATAAATTTATTCCCACTTAATCTGTGATACACAAAATCATCTATTGTATTTATCTCAAAACCAAAAGAGATAATAAATTGATGAAAAATGTGGTACCACACATAGGATATCCAAAGTTGAGGTTGTTGAGTTTGTGTATTATGAATAGGAGATTGAATAACATTGTCAATCATTGATTCATAATCTGCATATTATCGAAAGCAGTAATAGGAATCAAGATTGATTCCTCCTTAAGGACAATGTTTTAACCTTGTTTCTCCCCCAAACTCAACATCCTCAAGTGTAATGTTGCTATATCCAAAATGCAAGGTCTAACATCCAAGCAATTGAGAACTAACATAATGCCTTCATTCTATTACTTAAAGTTAATCTCATTGAGTACATGAATCATAAATGTGATCAATGTTAACATATATAATACCATAATTCAAACATAAATAAATCTATTTTTATGCTCGTTAATCCATAAACTGTAATCAATAAATTCAATTTATGACATATTTACAAGGTATCAACACAACATTAATATCATGTCTTTGGACAGTAATACTAACTTGCAAGAGATATCCTTGTTTTAGAGATAAACATTGACAATAAATCATATCAATTAACAAGCCCCTCTTTGGATTGACTTATTAATCACATTGAACCAAAAAACCGTCACATGTTTATCACCATATATAAGTTTATTCGGCCAAATATCAGTCTACCTTTGGGTCGGCTAATACCCGCATTAATAAACACATAAACTATAAATTTTGATAATAAGAATTGACAATATATCATATCAATTAATAAGCCCCTCTTTGGATTGACTTATTAATGACATGTAACCTAAAAATTGTCGAATATTTATCATCAAACATGTGTTTATCTGGTCAAATATTAACCTACCTTTGGGTCGATTAATATCCGCATTAATAAACACAAACCATAAAATTTAAATTCTCTGTAAATTAATTTTCACAAAAGATATCACTTTGGCGATATATTGTGTCAATTAATTTACTCTGAAAATAAATAAACATGTCATAATTGTAGTTTATTGACAATTAACCTAAAATATTTTGAATGCGTCTACCTTTAGGTCGAACACAGTTCACATAAACAATATCATATAAAACTTTAAGTATTTGCAACCAAATTAATTAAACTAATAGATGTCACATAGGTAACAATATTATATCAATCAAAAACCAAATAAAATATTAAGGTGTTGTATTTTCTGCCAAATAAAATATTAGGAAGAAAAACAAGGAAAAGCTGAGTACAAGCAAAAGCAGCTATTGGCCTTGGCACCAAAAGATTATTTTAACATATTATATTCAAGAACCAAATAATTTTCTTGAGAAACGAATGCCCATACTATCATTCTCTCATCGCCAGTAAGAAAACAAATGCGATCTCGGCGGAATGATGAAAAGAAAAGGCTCTTGGTTTGGGAAAAATATAATGTTGATGGTTTTAAACCGATCAAACTTTTTTCTAGTATCAAATTTGAGTAAGCTCTGATACCAATTGTTGGTGATTTTTTTTATAACCAAAACATAAAATGCGGAAGCATAAACTTTGGATCTTTAATCTCGAATCTGATTAAAAGAAAACTTAAACATGAAAGAACGATTATATACCTGATTTCATTATAATCTTTGGATCTGAAGAACTAGAGTTGGGTTTTCCAGTTGATCTCAAGAGCTCTCTATAAAATCCCTCAGCAAACCCTAAACGAATTTACATGTGTATTTTCGTGTGTCTTGATTGCTCCTCATCACATGTATATATAGATGGAGATATACCCTAATGTGATAGATGAAAGGGATATTGAGGATCTTGAGTCAAACCGGGAACTCAACCCACAAGGTAAGTGAATATTCTATAAATCGGTCCATCAACAATTTATATTCTTACCATAATAATTGGATTTAAAAATATACCGTACATATTTATGAAGTGGTCCATAATTATCCAACAATCATCTCTATTCTGTCACAACTCTCATGACCGGAAACCCACCAAAATCACATTTCCTTTTCCTCTTTCTTTTCCAGTCGAATGCAACATTTAAGGTGAAAGAAGTATGGCTTTTATGGCCAAGATCACATTTCCTTCCGATAGTATCTCAAGTTGCAGGCATATTCTGAAGAAAAATACACGTCTGATGCGCTGCAGAAGAGATACAGTCGCGATCTTTGATTCTTTAAACCTGAAGTTACAGTAATGGTCCCTGCGTTTATCTTCTTATTACACATACAACCCCAAGTCAATATATCTTTTAAGTAAAACCTCTCTCTATCACTCCTATATATGTAACGAATTTCAAACTTATTTACTGAATTTACATATAATCCATTATTATTAACACGTTTGAACTTTTTCCTTTTTTTTTTGAATGGTCATCGGTTACCGCTGAAGCTGCTACAACAAAACAAATGAAATTTATGAAAAAATTTATGGTAAGCTTTAACTGATAGCAAGTTAGTGGTCGTTTGATAGTTGCTGATTTGGTTAGAGTTGACTGAGTTACAAACTGATTGGGTTAGAAATGCTGACTGAGTCCACATCTGACTGAGTTTATACTGTTTGATTATTTATCTGACTGATTGTGCTGAATGATAAAAAAATGACCATATTATCCTTGTATTGTCCCTTGTGCCGGATAAAATAATTATAAAAATACAAATTATCACATAAAATCCTTATTAAGCATACGTCATTTAAAACCCAAATACCAAGTGTAATACAAAATCCAAATACACATTGTCATACATAATAAAAAAGTACATCATTTAACGTGAACCATTTGAAAGTAACTGATTAGCAATTTGGTCACGCAAAGTAGTCATATAGCCAACGACTTCTGAACCTCATTCTATGTCTTGTATGTTTTGACCCTCACTTCCTCCACCTTCCACATCAAGAGTAACCATAGTGTTTTGTTCAAAGTTTGTGAATAAGTCATCTTTGAATATTGTATTTCCTTATAAAATTATGGACCGCAACACAAACAATGACTATGTCTTTTTGCACTGGAAAATGATAAGGACTCATATGTTTTAAAACTGGAAATCTCGCCTTCAATACACCATGAGCACGATTGAGCCTTTCTTCCTTAGTTAAAGATCTGTTTCTTCGAAAATCGGCTAACAAATACTCACAAATATACACATGATCTCACGTATCCTTTTCAACCCACTGAGGTTGAAATTGGATGTAGAAATCACACTATGAAATAAATACACAAGTGAGACGCATATGTACCTAGATTTATTTTTGATAGGCATGGTAAACCATTTTAGTCCAGACCTTACTTTGAAACTTAGTCAGCTAATATTAATGTCATATGTTGATTATTATTGTTCATGGGCTTGTTAGTTATCAATTTATATCATCAGCTAAAGCTTGCAGTTGCTGAAAAGGATATTGTGAAAGATGATGATTTTGATGAATGGACATCTAATTCATTATTAGTTCAAGATTATGATGATTATATATAGAAAGAGGATGATATCGTGGGTACTTTTGATATCCAGTATGTTGATGATGATCATGATTTGTCGACTAATCATAACATTCAATCACATAAAATTTAAGAAGAATTTTGAAAGAGAAGGAAGGAAAAAAGGAGAACGATAACTGTTGATGTTGTTGCTGTTGATCACGGTTGCTCCTCTGTTGCTTTTGACCGCGACCGGAACTCTTGTTGCTTCGTCGAGGGGATGAAATCAGAACCTCAGTCGCAACATATGTAAACGTTGTTTTTGTTTTTTTTTTCTCGATCCATCAGATAGAAAGTAAGGACCGAGTTTGGTGTTTTTATTGGACCAAGTCCACATATTGGACCGAGTCCCTACATCTATAATCTCTATCAAACATGTCAATTGGTATTTTATGGACCCATTCCCTCTTTAGACCTAGTTAGACACCATATCAAACGACCCCTTACTCTTAATTTTTACATGTACTTGAACCTAACATTGAATTGAATCTAGCTTAGCGAGTTACTGTATGATTTATATTTTATTTTTGTAAATAAAACTTAGCGAGATACTGTATGATTTATATTTTATTTTTGTAAATAAAAGTTGATAATCTATAACTAAAATTATACATCGTATCTACATGTCATATCAAAATATTGGTATGAAAGATTATTCCATTCGGCCAATGAAACCGATCATAAAATGTCATTTATTCTATCCGATATCCTATCCTACCAAACATGCACTTATTAGTTATTATTAGAGTCGTGCTTGTACAATTTTATTGATCTGAATTCCTATGGCAAGCCATTTGTAACGGGAGTGATGGGTCAGAAAATGACCCATTTACAATATGATCGAAAACCCATCTATTTGCAGCTTCGGTATAATGAATCCCATCCCATATGATCATAACCGAAGGATCTTTACATGATTTGACCTTCCCTCCACATCCAACGTGTGTGTTGTAGTTGTACTTCCCGCCATGCCCACAACAAGCTCTAAGGGGATGCTCAAATCCTATATTTTCAACAAATATAGAACCATAAAAAACAAAAATAAAACACTTTATATGTTTAACTTTCTATATTTACCATATTTGCTTGCTTGATTAATGAGTTTGTATCTGGCTTTATAGATGTCAACGTAGGTGATTGCAGCTTCGTGTAGTTCCTCACGTAATCGGTCCACAAGATCTTTCAATTTACTGTTAAAAAATTGGGCTAATTCGTTAAACGGATTACCACATCCGACTTTATCCATTTGTTGGGCTGTGATTGGTAAATGTTCCAACACGTATGGTAGACACCCAATCGGGCCCACATTGTGTATCCAAAAATATCGTCCTCCTTTATCGTGTACACTCTATGGGGAAAACAAAGCCGAAAAAAAAAATAAGAAGAAACAGATTATTTTGGACACAAATTTTATAATTTGAAGCCATTTTGTGATTTAAAAATAAAAAGGTTACAAACCCTCACCTTAACTACGGTTTTGAATTGGCCTAAGATATCGGGAATGGATGCTTTAACTTGTTGGGTAGACAAGTTTAGTAACAAACCACCCGTCAAATCATTTTGTCCGATATCAAATGTGTATAAACCACGTGAAAATGCTTCGGGTTTCGGAAGTAATTCCTTAAATATCCCACCGGCTGTTTCGAATATATGCAATTATAACATTGAAAGCACATAAGGATGTAATATATATATATATATATATATATATATATATATATATATATATATATATATATATATCTTGTTTGGGTGTGGTGTTATGTTACCTTTGCGAATAGTTTGAGTTCTAAGATGAAAATCGTTGAATTGATATGATTGAACATTTAATGAAATGGGGCTCAAACCACTTTGATGACGTGTCGTGTTTTGTGGTCTAATGGTGGAACCACCGGTGGCGAAGTTGGCTCCATGGGTGAAGTTGGAACCCAGAGCATCTAGGTATGCACTAAGGTAGGGTAACCCCAGACTCTGTGCTGTAAAAATTGGAATTTCTTGATTATTTTATTAATAATTAAATATTAAATATAATTTGTATTTTTTTTTTTGAATAATACAATAATTAATTCAAAAAGGAAACCGCAAATGCGGATCTTCCGTTGTTTTGATTTTTGGAAGCTTGCGCCAAAAGATTAGGATTCACGTGAATGGTGGAGTCGCATACCTATAAAATCGATGACTAGACGGCCGTCGGAGTACCTACCAGCCGGACCGTGGAAGAAAGTTTCTCCATTGGGCGGAGGAGCCTGCCCAAACGCCGCCGACAAGCCACCAGTATCGGAGTTTGAGTCGCCGAAGTTGAAAACTGCCGGAAAATCACACGAGGACTTGCTGATAGTGGCATTTACAAGCTGAGTTGCTAGTATAACTAGTAAGAATAGAACATAAGGTTTTGGTAGAGGAGTTTTCCGGCCACCGTGGTCCATGGTAACTTATCGGTGAAAGAAAGAGGGTTACAGATACAGTCACTGAAGCAGTATGATTGGCTCTTTTACTTTCAAAGAAACTACTAAAACTAGCACTAAATATAATAGACATGAAGCCCACCCGACCCGTTATCGCTTACGACGTCACACACCCATTCACTTTCACACTTCTAGTTTCGATACATATGTTATTATATTGCTTTCTAATATTTAATTCGGTTAAATCTGATATATGTTTGGTTTGCCGGAATTCAAGATTCCGGTTTGCGCACAAAACACAATCTTTTTACTAATGTAATTCCATTCTAATTTCAGTTCCCTCCACAATTTCATTCCTTCCAAAAAAAAATTACGAATCAAACGGTCCCTTGTACTTGTAAATAATCTAACATCCTATCTAAAGTGCAAAAGAAATAAGACAATGAAGGTAAATAAAAGACTAAACTTGTGCAACTTTACATAGTCTCAAATCTCAATCATTAAAAAGAATAGATAACATATATAATATATATATATATATATATAATATATATATATTATATATATCTATATATATATATATATATATATATAAGTGTGTAAAAGTTACCAAAAAAAATGTCAATCTGATCTACTTGTCAACAGCAGCTTTCACCATCTTTCCTTTGAGTTTGATCTGCAAAATTCACAAGATTAGTTTTAAACACATAATATGTTGCTATCAAATGCTGAGTTGAGATGATAAACATTAAACATACCTTCCAAATCCTCCTCTGTCATCACCCTTTCTTACCCATGAATGATCTCTATTACTGCCACGTGTCTCTGATGAGTCAACACTTCTGGAATCATCAATTGACCCCAAAACAGTTCTTTCAACTGGTTTTTGACTGAACCGGATTTTGTTATCTAGATCATGGTTTAGTTGTTCCAGTTTCTTTTCTTTTTCAAGTATTCTGTCACTTAAACTACTACTGCTTTGGTTTCCATTTCCATTAGATTCGTTGTTTGCATCTGAACCAGAATTATATTCTCTCTTCAGATTATCTATCTTTTCCTTCAATTTCTTTATCGCTTCATCTGTATCAGACCTGACAAAAAATTAAAAGGGACAACTTTTATAATCTAATTTACTCAATAAGTTTCCATTCCATACCAAATTACAAATAAACAATCAACACTGTTTGCATAATATTGTAACTATACATTTATACTCAAATTCAATCAAAACGTCACCATCCTTTAAGACCTGATAAGTAAACCAACGATACAACGTAAAGCACAGGCTTGCTTCAAAGGCGCTAATTGTAATTTGTTTCAACAATTTATTATGGTTTCTTTATGACTTCATATGTTTTCATTCAACCACAAAGAAAATTACTACATTTTCACCAGTCCGTCAGAGATACAAAAAGATTCATGTGAACTATCTCAGTTTATGGATGCTCACCATTTCAAAAATGAAGGTTACTTGTTTTCAGAAGACTCAGAATCATAGACATCATGGAGGAACATGCAACCTTCTCTAGGGTGCGGGTGCGGGTGCATTTGCTTCTTTTATAACCCACAAAGCACCCAATGCTCCTGAAATATTGTGATAAACAAGAATCACCTTCTCATGTTCATATGTTGTCTTTAAAGATTTGCTAACCTAGCTTTCGTTTTATGATACATTGCACTCATCACTCACCCCACCCAAAAACTATTATTTACTTGCACTTTCCTACTTCCTTAGCAGCTGGGTAGCTCTTGACAACTTAAATTTCACAATAGAAACGCCAAAGGTTACTAAAAGACCAAGTACAAAGATTAATATGCAATATTTCTACAGTTTCTCGATGATGATGATGATGATGATGATGATGCTTCAGTGGAATACCCAATTTCACACAGCCAGAGATCAGAGATGTTCATCAAGTATCAAGAGAAGAATAGAAGATAATGGATAGGAATACTAACCTGCCAAGCCTACGACGCTCCAACTCTACATCAATCTTTCTGTAATCAATACCTTTCTCTTGAAGCAAAACTTCTCTGGGTTTAGCATCGCCAAAAGGGTTCACCTTAGGCCTTGTCTTCTCTAATCCCTGCGGCTGCAATGCAGTCCGGCCATCAACTGAACTGCCGGAATGTGAACTCGTGGGCCGACTACTACTTTTCTTAGCATCAATTTCCAAATCCACTTTCTTGTGATCCAAACCTTTCTCAGCCAATACCTCTTCCCTGGGCCTAGCTGCCCCAAAAGGACTCGGTTTATTGGTGTGCGCCGATGGCTCCACTGGAGCACTTTCACCCTTTGGTGGATCTAACACCAAACGCCGGCGTTCCGTTGGCCGTTCCTGATCACCATCACGAGGCACAACGCCCCTTTTCCAACGGTCGTCTTCAGAACCACCGGAATCCCGAAAACCAGGACCGAAATTAGAAGACCTGGTGGGGTCATGGCCTTCGCTCAGCCGCCACAATTATCACGTCACTCTCATCCTTCTCCGAAAAACGTCCGCAACAACGCCACCGCCTCCATCGAGAGAACCGTAACGGCTAGGTCTAGTGAGAGCGTCATAAGAAGGCGTGATAGGCTTCTTGGTCATTGCCCAATTATCGACCTCGTCTGCCCTAGATGGTTGATCATATTCCGAAATCCGAGGAGATGAAACTCTACGATCATCACTAAACTCACCATAAGATCTCCGATTATTACCCCATGCAGCGTCGCCATCTCCCTCCCTATCACGCATCCTCGGCCCTCCGCGACCACCTCCATAGGACGAGAAACCACCTCCGAGCCTCCCATATTGCATTTCCTCCGCCGAACGCTCTTTTGGCCCGGTCGGGAGCCGCATCATTTCTTCAGGAGTCAATCCTTTACGGTCATAAGCCAATTCACGAGACAAAGCGCCACCGCCTAGACCTCCAGACCCTGCCATCGTGAACTCATGTAACGTCATTTTCGTCTTCTTCTTCCCTTTATTAGTGTTCACCGCCTCTTTCAGGCTCGGATAGCTCTGGGGTGGAGCGGCTGCCGCCGCAGCAGCTAGTTCTTTCTCTTCCGCTTCGGCGCGCTCGGCTTCCGCCGCCCAGGCGCCAATATTTCCCCATACTTTCGACATTGCAGATCTATAATTTCATACACCGAGAAACTCGAGGATCAGATAAAAAAAAAAATACGAAACACAAGCTTTAAAGATATGGATGAGTGTTGTTATAGCAATACATGCATAGTATAGTGCATGCCACAGTCTCCGGCGTACGGCGGAGATGGTAGTTGTAGTGCTGCTGGTCAAATGGAATAATCTAAACCGTAGCTAATTTATGGTTCACGGAGTTTGTAGAGAGAGAAAGTATAGGGAAATTGGTGCGGTGAATGAGACGCGGGGGTCGAGAGTGGAGAACACGGACCATTAGATTTGTTTCAAGGATGAATTGTAGCCACTAGATGGTTCGAAATGGGAGGTATGAGAGCGCGTATGAAGGCTTGATATGTAGCTGATCTGTCCACTTTTAATTGGTTATTTATGGGAACACAAAATATTATAACATGATTTTTTAAAAACCTGAGTAAATTACAATCTAGTATGCAATAATAGTTGAGTAGGATGGTAATTAATATTGAATAAAAGTTGAATGGAGTGTGGGTGATGACATGGAGTAGAGTTGAATGGAGGAGTTCAATGATCATTGAATGGTTCAATAAAAGGAATAAAATGATGATTAGGATTGAATATGTGTTTAATGGGTTGTAAGTGGTGTTGTATAGATGTTTAATGGATGATGTGACAATTCATTGAACTCTATAGAGTTCTATAGAGTTCAATGGATTGTGGATGCCCTAAAGGGTAACTAATGTGCGTGGTTCTAACCTTTTTTTTTTAGATATATCGTCTACTTTTGACTTTTGAAGTTAATTTTGACATTAAATATTTTGTTCTTGATATATAATACTTTATACAAAATATATGAATGGATTGTGTTTTAAATGTCTTTTCATTTTTATAAGTTTCATCAAGTAATACATAACACAATTAAAAATATTTAAGGTTAAAGTTGATGAATAAAGACTTTAAAAGTTAAAAATGGACAATAATTATGGATCGGAGGGAGTATATCTTTTGTCTCACCCATCAACACACTCTATAACTCTCACGTACAAATCAAGAATACCATAGCTACAATGAACCCTTCTTTCTTTCTCCGTTATCTCTCATTTTACCAGTGGTACTTACACCACCAACTCCGACAACCAATGTTTAGACCAGGGTTTATATCTAGGATTCATCATCAATTGGGTTTCAAAAAATTCAATTTCTGTGGCTTCAGATGCAAAAAATAGAACACGATAGTAGGATCTTCGTGAAGCGGTGAAGCCTTCACCGGAAGGTTGTTCTTTTGCTACCGACGAAAGGGAGGTTTCAACTCGTGGTATGTTGTAGGATTCGTCATCATTTCATGTTTTATTTTGGTTTTGGATTTGAGTTATTGGTATGGTTTTAGATGTATTTTCAGATTTATTGATGAATGTTAGGTAGCTTTTTGTTGAGTTTTGGGTAATTTATGTGATATTGGATCTATGGCCGAAGACGATGATCATAGTTGGTGCCAGAAAATGGATATGTTACCGGAGATGGCGGCCGGAGGTGGTGGTAGGAACCGTAGAAGATTAATTAATGTGGGCTGGTGTAACATCACAAAAATTTCAACAAATTTAAACTTTTCAAAACAACTCATTTATTAACAAAAGTGTTTACAAAAACATTGTCTCCAAAACATGATTTAAAATCAGAGTCTCCGAAGATCTGATCCGTCGTAAAACTGAGGATGTGTTTCACGCCTTCGCCTTGCCACAGATCATATGAAGAACCTGAAACCATAAACAAACTGTAAGCACGAAGCATAGTGATTTCCTCCAAAATACCACCGTACAAACAAATAGCACATAAATAACAACAACATGTACTGGGTCCACAACTAAAATACTAGATTACCCCTGAGCCCATAGTATAAGTCTGGCTTGCCTATCAGGCCCACAACTCATATTTAGCTTGCTCCCAACTCAATCAATCATCGGATTAGAATACCAATGTTCAACCCTCAGTACAAGTCTGGCATACCAACTGGTCCACAACTCGTATCTGGAATGCTACTGAGCCCTCAGTATGAGTTTGGCATGCCTTACCCGACCCTCAGCTCATATTTGGATTGCTCCAATACCCTCAAGCCCTCAGTACGAGTTTCGCATACCAACCGGGTCCTCAGCTCGTATCCGGAATGCTACTGGGCCCTCAGTATGACTCTGGCATGCCCTACCCAGCCCTCAACTTATATCTGGAATGCTCCAGGGTTTGTTGGCTACAACACGAAGCAGTACAACCTCAACCCAACACATTATGATGACGGATAACCAACATACACAGATAATCATGCATACAAAATCATATGTAGTCCTATAGATCTACCAGACTAGCATATCAATAACTAGCATACTTATGCATATCTATTCCATATTTAGCATATCAGCAGTATCAGGTTATCAAACCAAAGGGCCGGCCTTGGTGCCTTCGACCGGAAAGTACAGTGAAGAAAACTCACCTCGACAACTGAACCCACGAATAATCTCTGACTGCAGATCCGCTAGAAACCCCGCGCTATCAAACAAACAAAACTCAATTAAAAATTGAGTTTCAAACCAAATTCATAAACGGTCCAACTAATCATGCCCCCTAATAACCCAAGCCCATTGGGCCCACTAAGGCCCAACAAGGCAAGCCCAATAAATAAATACAACTCTAATGAAAGTCCTCAGCCCAACCAATAAAGCCTAGAACTCAACCAAAACCCAAAATCAAAGCCCCAAAGTCCAATGATCCAAAAATCCCAAATCCCATCTGATCAGACGTACGCACGGCGTACATGGCTTGTACGCACGACGTACGACGTTGGTCCAAAAATGGGCATCATAGCCGGAACGTGCGACGTTCCCCAGTGGTACGCACGACGTTCCCGGCGGCCACCCAAAAGTCATTCCAATGACTTAATTCTTTAAGCCAAACATCCAAAACCTCAAAATAGCTAAATATACGTGACTTATCCATAAAGTCGAGGGCCTTAAGCCTTTGCATAGCTTAATGAAGCCAAAACACCAAAAGATGAACTCCAAAGGTTAAAATCACTCAAAAAATGTCTTAAAACTTCTTAATACCTTAAGACCTCAATCCAAACTTCCAGATCTGATTTCAAGGGACTTCTTAAGTCATAAAGTTTCCAACTTTATGACTTATCATAATCAATGGACCCAATCAAAACCCTAAGTCTCAAACTCATCAAATGACTACCAAATCATGCATGGAAGGTTTCTTACCCTCAGAATCCAAACTTTATGACTCATAACCTCAAAAGGACCCAAATATGAAGATCAAAGGTTCTGGAGTAACTTTCCTATCACAAGAACCCCTCAAAGGGACCAAAACCATAACAAAAAATACCACTTAAGCTAGTCTACATGAAAGAGTTGTCAAGGGTGAGACTTTATACCTCCAGAAGATAGATCTAGGTGCACAAAGCCTGGATCCACAAGCTCTAAGTCAAGCAATGACTCTTAAAAAAGTTCCTTCTCCCTCCTCAAGCACCAAAAACACACAAAATCACCATGAAGCTCAAGAAATACTCAAATGGAGGCTAGGGTTTCATTCTTAGGGTTAGAGAGGATGGAGGCTAGAGGAAATTGATGGGTTTTAGGTACAACAAATAAACTAGAAAACAATTCCTAAGTTCACATGCAACCTACTTTGGATCTATGTTTTAACTATTGAACATACAACTTTGAATTGCAAAACAAGAACCCTAGAGGAGAGAGGCTAATTTCGAAAAATTAACAAACTAGGGTTTAGGGTTTACATACCTTTCAATTGTTATAGCAAACAATTGATATTCCCTCTTGATCTTGATCTTGATCTTCTTGGAAGCTTTAGCACCACAAGTGTAATGCCTCTAATGGAATCACACCCAAACTAGCAAGAAGGAAAGTAGAAGAGAGAGGGGAGAGGGAGTATGCAAAATCTCGGCCTTAGGGTTTCTTCAAAAGAAAGAGTGACCAAAAACATGAACCAGGAGGCTCCTTATATAGCTGAGGGATCTAGGGTTTAAGGGAAACCCTAGTTATCCTTTGCTTAGGGCCTAAGCAAACCCAAGGGCCTTATCCAAGCCCCTATGGACGAAATTATTAGGGTTTCCCCTAAAGATTTCGTCCACCCTCTTCCAAGGGGGTTCTAGAGCCTTCCACTCAACTATTAGATAACTCCAAACTAGTCCCTGCACCTTATAATTAATTCTTTTAACCCCAAAATCAATTCTGATTAATTTCTGGCTAACAATTAATTAAACATAATGATTTCTAATTAATATATTAATCCAATAACATTAATAAATCATTTATATATATATATATATATTATATCTTATTTATTAATATCTCTCCTTTCATAATTTCCTTGTCCAGTTGCTAGGTTGAGGGCAACCCAAAAGGACTGTGCTGCTATCAATTCAAGTACATACCAATATAGTTATGGGCTTAGACACCTAATCCAACAGTCTCCCACTTGGATAAGTCTGTAACTATAATTGCTAGTATGCCTTCTAAATTTGACCAGCAAATTGTAGCTTCCAAAAGCTGCTGCCGAACTCTGACCCAGTCAGTTACGTGTCCTAAGATAAGTGATCATATAACCCTTCGTTCTGCTAGATATCCCTAGACAAAGACATGGAATGTAATCAATCTCTTTGTCCAGAATCTATGTTTCCCGATTCCTGATTTGTGATGATGTAGGACTTCTAATTGAACACATCAATTTAGTCCTGGCTGGGCCCAGCACATAAGTCAACACCAAATCATCGAGGGGCCCACAGATATCGCTTTTCCTGTTAGGGCAAAAGGAACGAATAAACGTTGACTCATATGCTTGTATCTTTTACTCATCAAATTATGCATGACAATACGTTTTATAACACCAAGTTACTGATGCGTTTTCGTATCACCAATGCATAACCGACTTGTAAATTACAACTCATATATCTTCGTTTCAAGATTATAAGATATTATCGTCTCAGTATTACTCGTGATGAATTCCATGAAGTAATACTCTGCGAGGGTTTATCCAATACTCAAATCTCAATTTCTGAGTACTCATGAACATTGCAGCAATTCTATTGCCATGTCTATCCTTAGACAATCTGCAATCCAATTCATGACAGTCTTATTTCACTACTTACTTCCAAGAGTACGAGCGACTGTGGAGTTTGAATAATCTCATTATTCAGGAAGTAAAACATGCAAAAATGAAACACAATAATAAACAATTGACAAAAGGTAGTAGCCAAACTTATAAATAATACTTTATTATTTAATCACC